TAAAAATGTTCAGAACCCCCAAAAACCTTACAAAAACTAAAATCGGGACCTTATATTAGCTCTATATTATATTATATAAAAAAAAAAATAATTTTCTAATTTCTAACCCTAACCCTAACAAATCTTAGGACTGGTGATGATCACCACTGGTGACATGTAGTAATTTTCTTACAAGTTTTATATTTAATATAGTTATAATTATATAAAGTACACTTTATATTAGTCACACCTCTATATAATTACTATTTTTTGTATTCCAAAGGCGTGATTATAAAGAAAGCAAATTATATATCTTTTTAATAATTTAGTATTTAATTTTAGATTTAGTTAAAAATTTTCGAAATTTGTCTATTTTTAGCTTATAAACAATCTAAATTTTATTTCTTATAATATAAAATGAATACTACTATAATATAATTCTTATTTTCAATTTAAAAAAGTAAAATATAAACAAATTTGTAGCAATTTTTTAGACAAATATGCTTGAAATTGCCTACAGTTTAAGATATAATATTTTTTTTATTATTTAAAATTTATATTACAGTATAATAAAAAATTATTAATAAATACAATTTTTTTATTTTGTTTTATTTTGCTTTATTTATACTAGTTTGTAAACTATAATATTTTAACCAATTTTACTCAAAAGTTTATTAAAACTGACATTTTTATCAAGAGTAAATTTAAATACAGAAGATATTGAATATTTCAAAAAATGGACCGTTTCTTTACTTAATGGGATTTTTTTATCCAACGCTTGTTCATACATTGTCCACAGCGCAAAAAACTTTTTCTCTTGAACACATTTTTTGAATATTTGCATATAAACATGTTCAATATTAATTGTACCAGTACGCTTCAACAGATTTTTTGCTAATATAATTTCTCCTCTATTTAGGCATGAATTTATTATTACATTTACAATTTCGGGGTCCGGTGCTGAATTTATACCTAATAATTTATCATAATATTTTTTGGCTTGATGCAAATTATCATGATAAACAAAAGTCTGTATCAATATAATATAAATTTGTTCTAAAAGGGTTTTTTCCCAAGTTGTCAAACTATTTGATTCCGCCAGTTTATCCGGATTTTGACTATTAGGCATAAAAATATTTGGAGCTGATAAACCTTCTCGTAACATATCAACAAATAACTGCCCGGCTCCCTTTATATCACCGTGTTCAATAAAGCCATTAATTAAGTCCGCGTACGCATGATAGTTTAGATGAAAATTCTTTGATTTCATCTCATTCAAATATTTTTTAGCAAGTAGGATATCACCACCTTTACTCATTATGCACTGTAAAAGTTCACAATAATCTTCACTGGTAAGTTCAAATCCTAGGCTTTTCATTTTTTCTATTATTCGAATTGCACCTATACTATCTTTGATATTTCCATACAAAACAATCAACATATGATAATCGGAATAAGTTAGCTGAAACCCATGTTCCAATGCAGATTCCAATACAAATATCGCATTGCGTGAATGGACTTTTGAAAAATACCCTGCAAGTCGTTGAATATCATCAAAAGGTACATCTCTTAATTGATCTTTATTTAATAGTTCTTTAAATATCATCAATGCCCGTTTAGGACTATGGCTTTTGACTTTAATGTTGTGATCTGAACTTAAGAATATCTTTATCAACCTTAATGGTATATTATCATTTAATTTTTTCCATTCATTGTATTTTTCAACTTTTCGTTCTGTTCGTGTATAAAGATATTGTG